AACATTGCCATAGCTCCTTGCTCACACATGAGGTACTAGTTTCTCTCTAAAATCTATCAGAGCTTCCTTGCACACATCACACTTCTCCCACACAAGTTTTTCTTGTTTCTAGGAGAGTCATTTACATCTTTCTACATCCTAATTGAAAGCAAAAGTTCCTCACGTGTCTTGAATTGTCAAATAATGAAAGTTGGTGAAAGAACTATCTTTTCCATTGTTACTTTTCTAGGCGTCAGGAATTCAAAAGACTCCTCATATCTGAGTAACATCAATACTGTGGGTAACCGGGCAGCCCGGGTGGCTCAGTGGTTTGGCACTGACTTCGGCCCAGGGCGTGATCCTGGAGACGCAGGATCAAGTCCCATGTCGGGCTCCATGCATGGAGCCTGCTTCTCCCTCTGCCCTCTCTGTCTCTCATGAATAAATAAATAAAATATTAAAAAAAAATACTGTGGTTGACCTACCACCTCTCAGGGCATGATACCAGAATCACTGTCTGAGAAGGTGTGCTAGATGCCAAAGAATGGCTTAACCAACCACTCCATGAGCTACTCCCTCCTGGGAAGGCTATGTGTGACTATCTTTGCTTTCCGAAAGCAATACTTTTATTAGATTTGGTGGCCAGAAGTTCTGAAGTCAGGTCCAAAATTCAGTACTTCAGGTTATTAGGAAATATTACCTTGTATTTTTTAATTGTCACGTTAGTGTTCTGCAGCATGCATATGAAAGCACATGCTTCAAAAAATAGCTCTTTTACAGTATTTCCATGCAGTCTTGCACTTCAGTGAAGTCACTATATGCACAATAGCTGGTTAATTATGAATACCCTTTACCTGTTACTAAAATTGCTAATAAAGTTTTGAGTGCCAGAAAAAATAAACTTAGTTCATTAAAGAAGGCTCAACTGGATGTCTTCACTTTTTAAAATAATTCGCTGGGAACCACATCCTTAATAAGAGAGTTAAATTTAAGTGTGATGAAAAATAATTTTTTTTCTGGTGAGTGTACTATTTATAGCATAATGGCTACAATTTTTTTGATATTTTGAATTTACCAATGGATTGTTTTCTGATTAACCATATTTGAGGCTCCTTCCCTTTCGGTCATGTTTATATTATAACGTGATGTGAGCCTCAGTCAGTTCTGCCTTCCTATGAAAAATATTTTAATCTACTCATCTCCAAAATACAAGCCCAATAATTATTTGTTAAAGTTCATCCATGTTGGCTTTATGATGGTTCAAGTGACATTATTATTTTGAATGAAGAGCAATGATGCTTTCCATGGTACAGGCTCATCAAACTAAGTCTTATCTTTTGTGATGCCAGGCCTGTCCTTCAGGAAGTATTTTGCTGGATTTGTAGTTTCCTGCTTCTTCACAGGAAAGTGTAGAATGCCTGGTATATATCTCTCAACCCCACCCCAAATATATTGAAAAGGAGAGGAAATGTTAGCCGAAATGCATTTTGCAGTTTGTAACCCTTTAATAAAGGACCTTAGACCAAGGATATGATTCATTCTGGATAATGTGAAAACAAAAACTCAGTGAGTTTGAATGCTGTACTCCCAGGATAATTCCCAGGACCCCTGTGGGAAGGATAGAAGAAGAGCAGGAAGGAACTTTCCTTTCCAGGAATTCATTTGTCACGCTCACACTGACATGTAGAATTCCAGCATATGGCATCAGTTTTGATTTTCTTTTATGTTTTTCATTGTTTCTTACTCTCAAGAAGATCCTCACAGTCAACAAGTGCAGTATTTATAAAATTTATGATTTCTCAAGTTATTTCAGTGGAGATAGCATGGCTGTTTCCCATTCTAAAGGCACTGTGAGTATTTAAAGAGCTAAAAACTCTGGACTGGGAGTATCACATACACTAGTTTAGACCTACGAGACTGTGTTTTTTCTTTATTGGAGTTTGGTGTGTGCTTACATCTTCAGTTAAATTATTCAAAAAAAAGTAAACCTAAAAGTATTACTAATTTTTTAAATAAAATTATCCCTAAATATCTAATACTATTTTAAGGATAGTCTGTTTTAAAAAAATAATCCTTTCCAATTTTGTCTTGTTTTGATTGGAGTAGGGGAACACATAATGAAAAAAACATACAGAACTTGCATGAATTTTTCCTTTCATTCTAAGAGTGTGAGCATTTCTTATATGCTTGGCCTGGAGTTTGCTTTATTGGGGCATTAAAACTGAAGGTAGCAAGTAAGAAATGAAAAAAAGAATTCTGTTTCCAACAAATGGATGATATCTGCGTATTAAGACCAAGAAGTGTGCACTCTTGGCAATATCTCTTCTCTTGCCAGATGCGTTAGGACTTCAGATGCTGAGATATTTCCCAAGAGACAAGGAGATTGAGGGAGTGATTTAACAACTCCTGGAAAGACCTGAGCTCTTTACTGCTTGTTCTATTGATTCCTTCAGTAGCAGACTATGGATCCATTCAGAATAGTTTTTCCCCTAGCAAACCTTTTAGAATTGTGGATCTGTTACCTGCATTCCAATGTTGACTTCTCCCGTGCCACACTGGATATGATTTGAGAGCAAGAGCAGATCACAAACCTTTCATGCACTTTATCTACTCCTTTCATGTACTTTATTTCAATCTCTCCTTGCTTCCTTCCACAAACATTTACTGGAAGCATGATGCTGGTGACAGGCAAAATGATAATCTATTTCCTATTTGTTTAAAATTATTTATTTTAATGCTGTTAATCTTGATAGGAGAAAATAATATAGAAGTGGTATTTTGCTGAAGTAAATAGAGTATTAATGGTGTCTCTAAATATTAGAGATTTTGAGCTAAAATGAATTAAGATTGCTTAATTATGTTGCTTAAAGGAAGTCAGTGTGATACTTAACAGTGTGATAAAATTGAATATTGTAGTTCATATGCAAAAAAGAAATATTCTACTCTAGTTGTTTTTTCCTTCTTCATTATTGGTATCATCTTCCACTTTTTTGGTGCCTCTACTGGGAGCCACATATCTTATCCAAATTACCTTTAGAATATATTTAATAGAATTAATAAAAAGCTAACATCTGTCTGAGAGATGATACTATACTAGGGAGGTACTCCACTGGAAAGAATTTTTGGAGTTTATATAGGTATCAAAAATACATTTATGCTATTGCATTTGAGCATTTTTTATTACTAGAATTTTTTTATCATGAACGGAATATACAGTCCTTTTTCTGATATGCCATGAAAAACAAAGCATTTGCCCTTTTGGCTGCCAAATCTTCACTATTAGCACAAAAGTTCATGAATGCAGGGGCTTGATTTTCCTTACTGGCCATGTCCCCAACATATGATTTTTTACTAAGTGCATTGATTCCCATGTATTATGCAATTACATGCATTTGTATGGTAGCCTATAGCTTTCAAAACATTTTTACTTAGATTAATTTTGTTTGACTATAGCAACAATTTTGTGAGAAAGGTAGGACAGATCTTTTATCTTGTGATACCCAGTTCCAGTGGGTTGTGGCAGACCTAGGATGGGAGGGGGCCCAATTCCCTAGGATGGGGGGGGGGACAGTCCATTGGTTCTTAATATCATTCATCATCATTCAACAAATGCTTATTATTGCTATAGGCAAGTCACTGTGTTAAGTATTCTAGCTGAATTATTTAACCTTTACCACAGCCCCTTGACATAGAATAATCTTCTTTCCATTTTAGAAGTAAAGAACTAAGGCAAAATGAAGCTAGGTAACATATGCAACGTCACACAGCCAGTAAGCGTCAGCACTGAGGATTAGGCTCACACAGTGTGAGTTCCCAATCTAAGCTCTCAATATGGCCTAACCACTGCTCCACAGTTTTTAGGATGTCCCTCTGAAAAGTTTGTTGGTATATATCCATGAGCCAAATAACTACCATGGTGAGACTTCCTTATGATTTCATTAAATTATTTGCTATCATTGTAATAGATGCTTGTTGAGTGTTGCAATAAATTTATAAGCCAGAGATAGTTGTTGTATAGGTTGTAGGTAAAGAGACAATACAAAAGGAAAAAAAAAAAAAGAAATGTAGATACCGGGTAGTCAGATAGGTTGCCAGTATTACAAGTGTGTCAGATTTGTCATTCTTCTATTATAGAATAAGGTACCTCCCAGGTGATGGAGAATGAGTCTGAAAAAAAAATTAATTCAAGGCAGCTGAATATTTGTCAGGTTAGGACATACCTAGAGTCTTGTAAAAGAAGGAGAGCCGACCAGTGCCAACCAAATGGGATGATCACGGCAGAGGAAAACCTCATCGGAACTCAGCAGTGTGCTTTTTAATGAATGTTCTAACCTGCCTATTCCTGTATAAATGGAAGTTCTGTCTGCAGCTTGAGCTTTCCTCAGCCATGTGTGAAGTGCACCTCATCCTGACTCAAGTATCCACAGCAGCTAAGAACACACTAACTGAGCCCTTGCTCCAAGAGAGCAAAAGCCTAGAGAGAGTTCCACTAGCAATAAGCTGCAGTAGTTGAGATTCTGAGGACTGTATATGGGACGAATACATTAAAATCAAAATTGTTCTAACTGGAGGTTTGCCTACATATGCAAAGCAGTGCAATAATAAAGTGGGGGAGGTAGAGTAGAATCATTAACATTAGTTGTAACCTGCAAAACCAGAGACTAGATTCCTATGTAATGATAAAATTATTGGAAGACCATTGGACCTGGGCTTTTCATCTTGGCAGATGACAAATATGCTGAGGTGGCCTTCGGCAAGTTGTATCACCTCTCAATCATCACTGCCTTGTTGGTTATGTTCTATAGGTTGAATTGTAAATCCCATCTAATCATATCTAAGATATATAGGTAAATTTATTAAATACTTTAAAAATATTTTTCATGTATAAGAACTATGTGTCCGATATGTAATGTACACTTATTAAACATGAACTCTATGCCACTGCCGTCGTGGTACTCCTAGAGTTTGTTTCCACTTACACCAAAAGCCACCCTTCCTCACTCAAATTTCCTTTTCGATAGAGCAAATTGGCCAGGAGATGTTGGAAAACCTCAGTCATGACAGAGAAAAGATACAGCGTGCACGTGAACGAGTAAGTAGAAGGGATACAAAATTCTTTTCATAAATTCGGTAAATGATAAGACATAAAACAAAAGGCCTTCAGCACATCCATAGACAGTAGTGATGACATAGATGTAAGTGTGTCTAAAAATGGCAAGGGTAGTTGAGGGATGTCGAGTAAGGGGAGAAGAAAAAGAGTGGAATGGAGAAAGAAGCTGACTCTTTCCCCTGCCTTGAATGCCCCCAGGTAGATATTTTATTTAGCTCTATAACTGAGGTCAGACTTTGGAGTATGTCAAGTCTTACAGAGTGAAAGCTGTAAAGATAGTGATGTCTCATCCTCCCTCAGTTTACTTCATTTCCATTCATATATCTAGGACTTCACGCATTAAAAATTGGATTTTAATTACGAGATGTATATTCAGCGTTGTCAGCCTAAGAGACATGCTTTTATAGCCAGTTCAAGTATCCAGTTTAATGCTCCTGGTATCATCTTTTACATGTAATTTCTTAAATCTAAGAATTTTCAGAGATTGTGTAGGTGTCACGATGTATTTTAATGTATTTAAGTATCTATTATTAATTGGATTTCCATCCATGAAGAACAATTACTGCTTGCCAGTGCATTTGCAAAATGATCCAACTGCATGAAGTTTTGTTTTAACATTCCTTTTCTCCTCCTAGCTTCGGGAAACAGATGCTAACTTGGGGAAAAGCTCCAGGGTTCTGACAGGGATGTTGCGAAGGTAAGAGCAAGGTAGGGACCTATCTTCCTCTCTCTCCCTTTTTTGAAACGATGGTTTTCATCTAGTTGCAACTGGCCATATTCTAGGCATGCAAGCCTCTGCTCTTAGTACCCTGGGTCAAGACCCTTTTGAAATAACAGAGCACTGATATTAACTCTTGTTTGGACAGAGACACATACTGAGTAGCTTAGATTAGAGAGAAGGTTTGAGCTAGGGGGGTTACCTCAAGCTATGGAAAAAATTAGGGTTAGACATGAAGTCTTTTTTCATAGCCCGAGGAAGTCCCCATGGCAGGAACAGACCGATTTTATTTTCTATTTCGATAGCCTCCTTCTTATAGAAGGAATGCGGGCCTGCGGGTATTAGCTGTGTTCTCTCTCTGTTGCCTTGTTTTCATTTTATTTCTTTAAGAGACGCTGTTTGGGGAAATATTTCAATTTTACATATATTTAAAGATGATTTTTAAAATTTAAATATTATCTAAAGAATCTGAATTCACATGTGCGAGCAAACAAATGTCAGTGTTTTATGTGTGTTAATTAACCTTTGACTGATGGAAGATATTTGTGAAAGTAAGTGAAAATAAATGAATGCCTGGGTAATACACTATATTCTGTATTTTTCAAGGGGGAAGTAAGAAATGTTTTCATTGTTCTGAAAATTAGAGCCATTTTTTACTTAGCATATCTACTAGCATGGTACTTTCTTACATTCAGTATCTACCAAATAAGATTATCATCTAGCATAACCTTCAGTTTGGGACTGTAGCTGGAAATGTGAATGAAGAATGTCAAGAATCACCTCTAGAATAGCTTAATTGGGATTTTACAGAAGAAATCTTTTAGCACTAATACTGTAGAGACAACTGTTTTAGAGTAAGGAAAATCATCTCTACTCAGGTATCTGTATATAATAATTTGTTAGAAGTGTTTTTGCTGCATTAGCGATGGATGGCACAAGCAGTGGATAGTTACTTGGTCTCTATCAGGCTGATCAGTAGCGAGCCTGGAGTTCCTGCGACACCTCCAACTAACACTGACCTAACTCCACATGCCCCTGCTTTTCCTACAGGCACAGTGCCAATTCAGAACCATAAGCCACCAAATTCTCTGCTTAAGAGTAATATGTAAATGATCTAGAAACACTCAAAATCCACACAGAAGTGGCAATTGAAAGGAATGCTTCAGTGCTTATAGACAATAAAAAAGGAAAAAAGTCCTCTTTTGCTTCCCTGGGAGGGCCCCTGCGATGTGAGCTGTAACGAATATTCTGCATATGTCTCCATTTTGTCAAATCTCATTAAAGAGTCCTTCTGCTTTATGTCAATTGAGCTGTCCAGAAATCATTCATCATTTTTAGTGTAAAAAAAAATCATGCGGTTATTTAAATAATATCATATTAATGTTAAAGTTCAGCTGTCATTTAATGGTATGGCTTAATCAGATGTAGCATTTAGGAAAAATAGTTTGTTCGGGCTCTGCATGGCTTTCAGGTTGGCAGATTCAAATAAGGATTTATGAGTTTCTAAACCAATGTATTTCTGCCCATGTTTCTGCTTGATGTACCTCACCCTTTTGTGCAGGACACTGCAGACAGTTATTTCAACAAATAAAGCATCTCCTCATATTGTGTTTGAATAAATTTGCAAGTCATTTAGAGAGGGTGAAGCACAAACACTCCTGCAACCTTTGACTGGGCTTTCTGTAGGGCAATCGTACTAACGTGCCTGCTTCATAAGCCTACAGAGGGAAGTTAAGTTACTCCGCTGAAATCTACTTGGGGTCCTCTTTGTAGGCAGACTCAGTCAATGACTGACTCATTTCCTTTTGGGATCTGATGAGGGTATGAACAGAAATAAAAATCCCCAGGTGGACATCACCTCGCTATGGTGAGCCAAGGCTTAGGCCCTCTGGTGCATATTGGTGATTGTATTTTTTATAAGGCTCAACTGGGATCTTAGTATCAGCCAAGGTATCCAGATACTCTTAATCAGTGCTGTAACCTGACTGAGTCTCTGGGGAGCCACATGCAGGTGGTGGTTTTGTTCAGTTTCTAATTACTATCCCACGTGACATACAATTTATTTTGGACTTGGGAAAAGGCAAAAATATTTTATCAACTTCTTCACTTCATTGTTTTTATTATTCCCTGAAAAACCAGTCTCTAGAGAAACGGAGCCAGCTTTTATGTACCAAAGTCTTTAATTTAATGCTCTGATTTTGCTTTGTCTGTTATGTCCCTCCCATTCACATGGCATTCCCTTCCAGTACTGGTGAGATTTTTCTTTCAGGAAGAGAGTTCACATTCTCTTTCCAAAACTGCCTAGCTACATCATGTGTCAATAATTGTGTCTGATTTAAGTCAAGGTATAATATTGAACCACACACCCATCTGTCACCTTCACAAATGAATTAAAAGAAATTAATATCCTCTTTGTGCAGCGTAGATGTTTACCTCCATACGACATAAGCTTATTGAGTTTCATGATAGATTCTGTATGACTGAGAATATTCTACAATATACTAAACCGTGGAATGAATTTATTTAAAAGAAAGGTTGCTGATTATTTTTCATTTTTTAAATTCAGAGTGTTTTTAATTTTGTATATTGAACGACCTGGGATCGAGTCCCATGTCAAGCTCCCTGCATGGAGCCTGCTCCTCCCTCTGCCTGTGTCTCTGCCTTTCTCTCTCTGTCTCTCTCATGAATAAATAAATAAAATCTTAAAAAAAAAAAAAAGAAATAGCATGCCATGGTCCCCTCATTTGGGTCATTTTATTTGTTTTGAGTAGTCTGTTGTGAAGACAGGTGAAACTTGTGTCCTATCAGTACCAAAGTCTGTGTATGAACCGACCTGATTATCTGTAAGACCAAAAGCAGATAGGGAAATAAAAATGAGCTAAGTAGGGGCACCTGGGTGGCTCAGTCAGTGAAGTGTCCGACTCTTGATTTTGGCTCAGGTCGTGGTCTCAGGGTCGTGAGGTCAAGCCCTGCGTCAGGCTGCACCCAAGGTGTGGAACCTGCTTAAGATTCTCCCTTGCTCTCTCCCCCTACCCCTACTCATGTGCTCTCTCTAAAAAAATAGAAAGAAGAAAGTCCTGGGGGAATTCCTAAAATATACCTAATTCTCAAGGAAGTTCTCGAAGATTCTGCAACTCCAGTGAATGCTTACTAGTCATTAAAAAGGGTGTGAGGAAAACAACCAATAGGAAATATCATTTAAGTAGCTATAAAACCAATGTGTTTCAAAGGTTTAGAGATGCAGGAGATGATTTATAGATTCATAAATAAGCTCTGAAAGGAACTAAACATGCAAAAAGTACTGGGGACATGTCCAGTTTAGTGAGATAGCCGCAGATGCAACCAAAATAAATAAATAAATAATTCTTTATGGAACCATACTATATTGCCAAGAGGAAGAAAGCAAAGGAGAAAATTGGCCCATTCGAAATTATAATGGGGAAACTTGACATCAAAACACAGATATCGCTAATTCCCTGGAAAGTAATTTTTCTTCTGTCTTGACAGAAGATGGAGAACTAGCTAGGGACAAACTACTCATTTCCTGACTCTGTGGAGAGAGTTTGGAATAAAGTGCTATTCAGATAATAATGAAAATGGTCATGAAACAAATGGCCATTCATGTGGTGACTGGGGCCAAAGAAATGAATTTTTCATTGACTCTCACAAAATGTGATTATTACAACTGCTTGTCTTAAAGCATCACAAACAGCACTGAGCGGCTCACATGTTGCTCTTTGTATATTTGTGTGTGTTATATGCATGTTATTTCCTGTACAGCTGACTGGGAAGTCTTCTTAGAGTAGACAGAGCGGGCGGCCAGTGAAAATGAAAATAGAACTTTGCAAGATTTCAGTCAGAAAACAAAAGACCTCATGATTCTTTTTTTTTTTTAACCTCTGAATGAATAATTTATCAGTAATGGTATGTTTATTTCTAAAAGTATCTGAAGGATTTCCTAGGAATATAACAAAGTTATGATTTGAGATCTCCTCCGACATAAATTTGGAGGACGCGTTATGCTCGCTCATTGACTGCATATTAGGTGCTGGCAAAAGGCTTACGAAAAGAAACAGCATTTCTTTTAAAACAGCTTTTTAATTTTTTTTTAATTTTTATTTATTTATGATAGTCACAGAGAGAGAGAGAGAGAGGCAGAGACACAGGCAGAGGGAGAAGCAGGCTCCATGCACCGGGAGCCCGATGTGGGATTTGATCCCGGGTCTCCAGGATCGCGCCCTGGGCCAAAGGCAGGCGCCAAACCGCTGCGCCACCCAGGGATCCCTAAAACAGCTTTTTAAAAACGTTTTTTAACATCTCTTCCCATATGATTACCTTAATATCAAACAATTTCCTCTCTCCCACACACGACCTGTATGTGCCCCCACTGTTTTAAATCACTTTTTAAAAATTTTTTAATTAAAAAAAAATCTGAATGTTTCCTTCAAAAAGTGAATTCTTGTTTATCCTTCCAGCATGCATGTAGTAACTTGTTTAAGCAAGGAGCTGGTGAGAGGCCTTTGGTAACTGATCTATAAGATAAACAAATCAGATAGTATTAAAGGCAGCTGCCCTTGCTAGCACTATTCATACGTTCTTATTTTATACTTGTATTTTTGTTACAGCTATCTCTGAGTCAGTCTGGGGAATAATTGCCACCTATCATTGCTATCACATTTTACATTTTAAACATGGTTTTGTTGCTTTGGTAGAATGACAGGTGAAACATCTAGAAAATTTAAATATACTGTCAAAATGATTTGCAAAAGTAAGGTATACCAGAAATACCAATGCAAGACCATTATCAGCCTTGGAAACACAAATATTTTTAGTAAACAAATGTATCTTAAAGAAATATGCTACAACTAGATTTTTTTTAATCTTTGAAAATTCTTGCTCCCCCCACCCCGTCCTTTTGCTCAAGAAATACTTTATTGGGGGATCCCTGGGTGACTCAGTGGTTTGGCACCTGCCTTCCA